AAGACTAATAATTAATATTAAAACTAACGGTAATAAAAACAATATTAATAACAACAATGACAACATTAATAAGAGCAATAATAACAACAATTAGTACAATGTAGTACCAGTAAATGACTTGTGGCCGAGTTGATTTGTGGCCGAGATGACTTGTGGCCGAGTTGACTTGTGGCCGAGTTGACTGTAGCCAAACTTTTTGTGGCCGAGTTGACTTGTGGCCGAGTTGACTTGTGGCCGAGTTGACTTGTGGCCGAGTTGACTTGTGGCCGAGTTGACTTGTGGCCGAGTTGACTTGTGGCCGAGTTGACTTGTGGCCGAGTTGACTTGTGGCCGAGTTGACTTGTGGCCGAGTTGACTTGTGGCCGAGTTGACTTGTGGCCGAGTTGACTTGTGGCCGAGTTGACTTGTGGCCGAGTTGACTTGTGGCCGAGTTGACTTGTGGCCGAGTTGACTTGTGGCCGAGTTGACTTGTGGCCGAGTTGACTTGTGGCCGAGTTGACTTGTGGCCGAGTTGACTTGTGGCCGAGTTGACTTGTGGCCGAGTTGACTTGTGGCCGAGTTGACTTGTGGCCGAGTTGACTTGTGGCCGAGTTGACTTGTGGCCGAGTTGACTTGTGGCCGAGTTGGATCGAATTCTAGGCCCTAGCCTATAGGCCTAGTATAGTTTGCTTGTGTCAATTAGGTACTATTAGCCTACATGTGGGGCATCCCAACGAGGCCTAGGTAGGGCTGGCCCTGAAGTACAATGGCATGATCAATTTTTATTTTTATTTTGGCGGTGGTGGGCAGTGTCCTTAACACAGTGAGATCAAAATAGGCCTAGGCCTATAGCTAAAGTGATAATAATTATTATTGTGAAATCTGGTGATTAATTAAAGAAAGCATGTGTGTACTCTCAATCATAAAAGGATCTCTTGAAATGGTATCCGACCAGTTTTGCCGAAATCCAGTTTGCTGAGTCTACGTTTCCGAAATCTAGTTTGCCATTGGCCAATTTGCAAACTCAAAAATTCCAGTTTGCAAAATGTCAACCCACTAGGTAACTGTCTAAGACACTTGGTTGACTCCTGTCAACCAAGAATCATAACCGCTTTGGGTTTTTGGTAAAGCCAGTCGGGAGGCTGAGCTGTATGCCTAACGGATGCTTACTCAAATTTAGACAAAATGTTTGATTTCCATTGCGACAGAAAGTGATAGGCCTAGTTTCGTGTCCCCTCATTCTCGTTGCTATCGACGATACAATTGAAGTGTTTCAGTGGCGGATCAAAGAATTCAAAATAGAGAGGCCTGATAAGGTTCCTTCCATGATTATTAAAGGTCTGATACACTGTCATCATCCAAAGGGGAAAAATCATAAAAAAGTAACAGTGTAAGAAGAAAAAACCAACTAACAAGTGATTAAATTATATACTGGGTATGATTACATTACAAAGAAATATTAATACTGTATGTTTTAATTTCTACCTACATGTTCTACTTTAAACATAAAAAAATAACTAATTTAAATTTTCGACAAACTGAGTTTCACAACTTTTTGAGTCAGCAATGTGGCATTCAGCGAACTAGGTTTCTGCAAAATGAAGTTGGCAATTCAATCTGGCATTTGAAAAACTGGATTTCAGCAATCTGGACTACTGTAGAATATCCCTTGAAACTGATGAAAAATAGAGATGTGCACATGATACTATAAACACATCTAAATAGATGCATGTCATTTGATTGGTGGATTTCGTATCATGTGAATTTGGTTATTTAATCCATTTCATCACTATGGATCCATTTGTGCATTTTCTTTTCATCTGTTTTTGCCCATTGCACGGTGCCTAGGTTACGATATGACTTCAACTTAATACAGTCCTTTGATTGGTTAAAGAGACGCTGGACTGTTTTACAGTATTTAGAAAAGGGTAGATTTTTTTCATAAAGTATAATCATGGAGGAATTAGTTTAGGAATATCAAATGACAAGAATCTATTTTAAGTATGGTATAAAAACAAATAATGAATGTTTTTTATTCCCGCAATGGAAAGAATATTTTCATTTGTTATTGGTTCCTTTCAACTCGGCTTTGCCTCATCAAATGGAACAGTCAATCTTTCTACTCACGAAAATATTCTTCCCATTACGCTCATAAACATTCATTATTTGTATACTATTACACAGATTAGCCCTTTTATAGGACACTATCGGCCAATTAGACCAATGAGAATATGTATATTAGTAGAAAATAATATACAATTATTGACTGCTCATGAGGGGAATGGTGAAATCTATTGCCCCCAAGGTAATGTGGAGAACGTAGCTTATTATCTTCCATAGGGCTTCGGCCCTTTGGAAAATAGACTACGGTCCCCACATCCCCTAATCTAGAGTTAGTCAATTTGTTTTATATATACCTCAATACATAGATTCTATGAGGCCTAAAAAAAGTAATGAAAAGAGACCAAACAAGTAGGCTTAAGCATACTGTAAGCCTACTGCCTAGGCTGTTAAAGAGCCGATCACTCTCTTAGTAGAGATTGCAGTCGCCTTTACCATCCGTGCATGCTTGTCAAAATTACACAGTGATGTGGGGCCTAGAGATTACATCGCGATAAGGAAAAAAAATTATCATTAAACATAGTACTTTTTTCTTCCTGGGAACATCATTCACCTACATCATAGGAGTGATAGTTGAAGTTATTACCCGCTTTTTAACCAATCAGATGCCTGGAATCTATGTATGCGGTATATAATAAGACCAGTGACTAATGCAATCTGAACAATAACCTCAATCAAGAGGTATGCTCATGGACAAGGATCCTGAACAAAAGTATTGAGTAAATTACCCCATATCATCACCTTGTCTGAAAAATTTTATAGCCTTTACATTGACTCCAGCCATACGACAATGGTCATCAAAAAAATTTCATGTCTTTTATTTTTACAGTTTACCAAAATGGCAGAAATAGATGCACATGTTGTATCAAGCGGTACTAAATTTGGAATTCAACCTTCATCGCACGGCTGTACTACATTTGGAATTCAAGAGCAGGGTACTACTACTAGCAAGGAAATAGATGAATTCAGTTTTAGAAAAATATTACTAAGCATTGATAGGAATCTGGTAGAGCATGATATTTTAGCTCTGAAGTACTTGTGTCTGGATAAAAACATTGGTCTTAGACATGGTGAGTTGGAGAAAGTTAACAGAGGTCTGGATTTACTGGAAAAACTAGAGAGAAGGGGATTCCTTTCGAAATCAAAATTGGAAGTACTTATTGAGCTACTTGGCTTGATAGAGCGTTTTGATCTTCAGCGTGATGTTGAACAATGTTTAGATTTACAACAAAAGAAGAGAGGAATACAGGAAAAAAAAATTTCATCATACAGGTAACATTAATTATTTTAATCTAAATTTGTTTGCTTGTTTTTTTAAAGTCATTTTCTTGATTTTTGTATCTGAATAATGTTTTTAGGCAATATTCTTTTTGACTGCTGTTTCGTTTTTTAATGTTTAATACGCAATAAAATACCTCAAATATAATATTCTGTATGCATTAATTATCTACCAAACATAAATTTAATCCATAAATAAATCCCTCACCTAAATCACAGACCCTGTTTATAGTTTTATTATTTCTTATTGATTTAAGCTAAAAGTTATTTATACTTGTATATTTCTAATTACTATAAAAGTCATATAAAAATTGATATTTCTGAGAATACAATGTTTTTTAACTTTTTAATCATCGTCGTCATCATCATCGTCTGTTAACATGCAGTGTATTGGGTAAGAAGCGGGTGTACTGTAGGTACATTGGAGACATGGTTTTGGGCATGGCCTGGGTAAGGTTGGGGGGTGCAATTTTTGACAGAAAATATATAATATCTATGGGCAAAAAGAAAAAATATGAAAAAAAAAAAATTAAAAAAAAAAAACCAAACCTACCTTTTCGTGACCCGTGAGCTGATTTTTTTAACAATAAGAAGATTAGAAGCCGGACCTCCTTCCTTTTTGAGATTTTTGGGAAACATTCCGACTTATACCCCCTAAATTTGAATCCAGATCCCCCTGATTCATACTCCATTCATCTTACTAGTGGGCACCACACTTTGAAAAACGTTAAATAATTCCTAGTGTACTTCATCAACCAGCTAAATATACTGTGCTTACAACTTTTGCAACATGTAAAATTTAATGTCAAATTTAGGGTACAGTACTTCACTGTAATTTCCACATCTCTAGTGCCAAAAATAAAATAACTGGTTTTTTTTCATAGGTCTATGATACTTGATTTTGCTTCTGACATTGGAAGAAAAGAATTGGAATCACTAAAACCATTATTAAAACACTACATACCTGCTAGGACAATAGAAAGATTAAATGAACCTATAAAATTGATGATTGAGTTGGAAAAACTCACAGTAATCTCACCGCAAAAGATTGAATTTCTGTTTCAAGTTGCTGACTATTTGGAAAGAGAGGATCTTCTTAAAAAATTAGAGGAGTTTAAAGGTAAGTTGAAATTCAGTTCTAAAATTAACTACATTACCTAGTACAGTTCACCCTCTGATTCAGAACCCCTCTAATTCCAAGACCTCTCTATAGCTCAAATCCACTTCTTCAATGTGTACTAAATAACAATCTTCAATCTTTTAACATAAAGTTACTCTAATTGGCAACCAAGCCCTGGGATCACCCTGGAATTGGTCTACAATTGATTTTGGAGGGCAAACTGTATTACTCTTGATTATTATAGTTCTCATTGAAAAAAAATCTACACGAGTTTCCATAATATTTGCTACAGACTCTTGGTAGTGATATTATGAAAACACTCGGTGACTATAATGGTTGTTGCCATTCCTCGGAGGATTCCCAAAATTATATACGGAGCATAATTTAAAAAAAAAATTGCATGAATCTTTTTATAAGTACTCTAGAAAATGTCAATTTTCACTAAGGAACATCTAAGTTTGTGTAAATGTCCTCAGTGTTAAATCAAAAATTTACTTCAGCCCTTCAAACTCACAAGAGCAATAGGCATGCATGCAATTGTTCTAAGCTTAGAAATATACAAAAAAAATATGCTAATAGGCTTTATAAGTCAATCATGGTATCATCACTGGCAACTCTCAATGTTATTTTCCTATTCTTACTCTGCACTAATGAAAAATTAGTGCACAATTGGGAATAGGAAAATAACATTGAGAGAGCCTGGTTTGCTTTAATATTATTGTTTTGGTTTGTGTGCAAAAGGTGAAAACAATTTGCCACAGTTTGTAATTGCTTGTAGGCTAATGCATGAACTATTTTTATTTATTTAAAAAAAATTTAATTTACCGGTAACTATTTTTTCCTTTTTTGCTAATGTGACCAATAGTCACATCAGGCTATCAAGAAATAGGTACAGAGAAAGGGAACCATATATCGAGAAACAGCTCACACACCAGTAGTGGAAATAGAATAAACACTTTGGATAATAGCTTCAAAAGTCTGAGAGTCGATCAGGCTCCATATCACCATGTGAATAGGCCAGGTAAGTTTAGACTACGGTAATTGGTTCATTTCGTCTATTACTTGCCAAGCAGTACATTTTATCTTCTGTAAACTCTTTGATCCAATTCCCATACTGAAGTCTACCATGTTTCTTTCTACCATAATACATGGATGCACCCCACCATGGCAGCAAATTAGTTCAATAAATGAGTTTGTCACACGCGCTGTAGATGTTGCGTGGTAATGCATGTGTTCAAAGAGAGGAAACAGTTAAGTACTATGTACACATGGCAAACTAAACACATATCAAGATATAATGTGAAGATTTCAACATATTTAATTAAATGGCAGTCATAAAATAAAATGTTCAGATACAATATTTCTAAACTAAAAGAGGTAATGAACTTAGTACAATACTAGACAGCATCCAATTTTATTTGCCGCCGTCAAATCAGCTCAGCTTAGGCTTGTCTTTACGAGTTGAAATCAAATACTGTATATCAGTTCCTGAGCACCTTATATTATGTAACATCAGTACCATCTCAATAAACCACCTTGGTTGCTTCACTATTTTTCACACGACCATTGTCTAATCCTGGTCCCCAGTCAGTCGGGAACTAAAAAATGTAAAACCCAACTGGGCTCTATACCATACAACTATATAATCGGTAATGATTACAGTAATAACTATCATAAATTCATTATCATTGTTAATTTGAACTCAGGTAAGTAAAATTCCAAGTTACTTAATCATTTCTCACTTACTGTAAATTCCCAGTTTCTGTTATATAAAATAACACCAAGCCTCCATTCCATAAGCTATTTCTGGATTGTAAGGCCACATACCATTAACCATTATCTCCAAGAGGTGTACCAATCTACTGCCTAGAGATTACCTTCCCCCTTTATTTAGTTAACACACCCCATTCTTCGGTTAACACATTAACATATGGTCACACTTCATTAGTATTGACTTATCACAGAGTGCCACTTACTTTTAACTAATTAATATGCACATAACTTCAGCTCATTAATATTCATTCATTGATCCTCACAAATCCAGCTACAGCTGGATACAGTGCACAATTAACACAATCAACTTATGCATATTCATTGTTTACCAGTCATTAACAATACTTCACATTGCATTAACATTTCCTGCATTTACATTACCTAAATTTGATGTAATGTCAAATAATAAAAATACTGTATTTTAATTCTAAACCAATAGACAAGATAACATAGGTTGAAAAGAACCTCCACTGCAATATCTGACAGTGTTAAAATACTAAAAATGATATAGTATAATACAATAATGTTGCCTCTATAATCTTGAATTATCCTAATACTAAGAAAACTAAAAAGATAACAGGTAAAAAGCTAGGAATCTATGGCAATCATACAGTATGGAACTAAATTTTTTTACAAAATTTTGATAGCTTGATATGTAACTCACTGCTATTTCAGTTTTTGAAAAGTGATATTGAATCTTAATCCAGGTTTACTGTAATATCAAATATTTTTTCATCTTCAGTAATCAAGATTTGTCATCTTATACTCTTAAAAAATGTTGACTACTTACAGTAAAGCTGCTTTATAATAAACTACATTAAAACTCACAGGTGGTCCTGACTGAAGAAATAAGTATTTGATGAAGCTTACAATTATTATGATGTTCACTTTGATTATTAGAGTAATAACATATTAATAACCAATTTCTAGATCATTATATTAGTCATGTTGCTGAAAGCCTAGGAGGAGACGAATGGAAGATGTTAGGCTTTGCACTCGGGTTGTCAGCTAGGGATACAGATGAAGTATGTGATGCCCATGGGATGTTGCAAAAATTTCAGGAAATAACTAAAGAAGAACAGCAGTTTGAAAAACTTTGTAGTGGATTACGGTCTCGACTAGTGGGACGGGATGATATAGCCATCATGTTGGAAAAAGGTGAATTTTCAGATTTCCATTTCCTTCTGAACAGTAGCAGCATTAATAGGGAGCATTCGATTACAAGGCGATGGTAGGACGTAGAACGTACAGTAGTGGCATCACTAAAAGTCTTCTGTGCATGCAAGAACGTTAAGTTCTCCTCGTCATGTAGATTCTAGGATGCAATTTGGAAAAATCTGTATGCAGAGAATGTAGGACAACCGATAGGATGGTCACGCATAAGTGATTCCGTTCTAGCGTTTACATTTTCAAACAAATCAAAAGCTCCCTAATAAGAGAGAGTACTGAATGTGTACTGTAAATACACAGTTAAAACAGGTACCCATTTAACCTCCTAGGTGGATAGAGACAGTCAAACTTCACTTTCTTGTCCAAGGGCGCAAGCAAAATACACTATAGTGAGAGGTTTGAACCATCAACCTTTGAGAACTTGCTGGACCAAATCTGCTATGCTAGCTAACTCTCAATTTTTATATTGTATAATGTTATATGTAAATATGATATTTGTAAATTTAAAAAGAAACTCCTTTTCAGGATTTTATTTTTGCCCTCAAAACAAATTGGAACCTGGGAGCTGGGAGGGAGTGTTGAGTGCTATAAAAGGAATCAAGGTCAAAGGTGACATCATTTACTTTAGTCCTGATCATAAATTGGAACCTGGGAGAAGATTTATTGAACAATAACTTTTATGTCTACCATCTTCACAAATTGGTATCTGGGAGTGGTTTTACTGGACAATGTCGTATTTTTGCCCTCTTCACATATCGTACATGGGAGGGGTGTTATTGGTAAGGTACTTTATGTTTTTCCTCATCACAAATAGCACCCGAGAGAAGCGCCTGTTGAGGTTGATGATGAGCAAAATCTGTTATGGCACAGTCGTATCCGACTCGACTTGCATACAGCCCCAACTTGCATACAGCCCCAATATTAAAATGCTGCTGTGTCTTGGGAAGTTGTCTCAGTTCTTTTTTCTTAACATCTACATTATCTATTGATTTTTTTCAAAATTTTAAACTTATTGTACTGTATCATGTATTGATTTTGGGTGTTCTCTGATTTATGTGGAGACAAATTTGATAATATTTGATAAACGTACTTGAAAACTTCAACTGGCCTTCTGTCATTATATTTATCATCAGTACACTGCATTGTCGTTTGACATACTGTACAGTAGCACCCTCTACTTTTTTGTGCCATATGTTTCTGTTTTGGGTCAGATGTGTCTTAAGGGAAGATTCCTTGTGCTGTAATTTTCCAGTTCTGTTTTAATTATTATCATCAATATTATATTAATGTAGGTACCACATACAGTAGGTAGTTCTGAAAACAACTGTTGTTGTAGAGAATGTCTTGACATATTTCGATTGAGTTGCTTCAGTTTTCTTCAGGAGAATAATATCAGATATACCATACCAGATATTATTCTCCTGAAGATGATAGAGGCAACTCAGTCGAAAAACGTCCAGACATTCTCAACAAACAACAGTTCTTTTCAGTACAATGGTGTACTCAAGCATTAATATATTATTACTTCGCCATGCAAACCTTCAAACAGTATCGTTATTATCAGCATAAATATAATTGTCATTTTATGTTTTCAATATTTGTTTAGACTACAAGGATGTTTGCAGTAAACAAGTACAAAACTTTCCTGTGGCAGCAGTTAACAAACAAGAAGAAAAAAATGTAGTGTCTTCTATAAATACTGAAGGTAATGTTATAACTATTATCAACCCAATCTAACATTTCAAGTTTAAACTGAAGTAAAAAAAATTGTAAGAGGACAGATTACAAAATTTGGAGTAAAAAATCATCAGACTGGCTGAGCTGGGTGAAATGAGCAGATATGGAATACTGCACATGACCCCTGTTAGTGTATGAAACCTGTCATGAATCACCCGGTTCTTTGAAAACGACATAAAACTAATTGTCTCCTGTACATCAAAATAGTTTTGTACACTATTCTGTAAATAGCACAAAATGGTTGGCCAGTGTTAAAGCTAGTCAGTTACGCTGATGAAGTCTTGAGGACAAGACGAAATATTCGTTCCCTGAATAAATTATATTGTGTTCTACTGTCTAACTCAACGTTTCCTCATCATTATTTTCTGTCATATTTTCTGTTTTATTATTTGAACACACGTGGACCAATATGACTATATATATATATATATATATATAAGATGTGTATTGTGCTGAACCGTGGAGATCACTACTTCCCCAGTTTAATTCCCATCGCTGCTCTCCTTGTGTTTCAACTGGAGGGCTGAAATATGAGTTATATAATGTCCCCGTCTTTCGGAAGAGACGTTTAAGCTGTTGGTCCTGTGTGCTATATGGCCCATGTGCATGTTAAAGCACACGGTACTCTTTAGAAAAGAGTAGGGGATTGTCTCCCGGTGTACTGCCCAATTCACCCCAAGAAGGATCCCACTAGAAACAAGTCTTCTGACTTTAGGTTATGCTTGGTGTGATTCACACTGAAATCCTCCTATACCTACAGGCAGACATATCATAATACAATGTATAAAAAGTATAATATTTTATTCACTAGAATCAGGCCTAATGGCAAGATATAAAATGGCCAGTATGCCACGTGGGATATGCCTCATTATCAACAACATGAAGTTCATGGGTAGATTGAAAGAACGTAGAGGTTCTGAGATTGATGAAGGTATGTAGCAACAAATTTGAGTTTTTGAATGTTCAAAAATTTGGTTTCATGTGTCTTCTTTGTTTCCTCTCTTGCTGAATGTGCCTTTCTTCAAAATCCATGTCAGTTACAACTCTTAAGTGTCTTTCTGTAAATTAGAACTATGTAATTGTAACTTGTTTGTGCACTAAGGGGCAGGCTATTGCTTGGTGGTTAGATGCTTGTCTTCCAACTCTATTGGGTTCAAATCATGCAGGGTACATGGACTAGAATTTTATATTTCTTGCTTCTTAATTCCTGTCTTTTAAATTACAAGAAGAAAGACAAGAATTGTTAAATATTATTGCCATAAAATGTATATTCTGCCCATATTTCCATTTGTTTTACATTCATTCAGTTGCTTATTTATTTTTTTTATTTTGATTTGATTTGAATTTATTTGGTTCCAATAAACATACATACAGATAAAATACAGTGATAAAAGATACAGAAACAAAAAAAATATTAAAACAGATAAAAAGCCTAAACAAACAGGAGAAAAGTTCATTCGATTACAATGTCGAACAAAAAACATGAAAAACAGTGGAACCAAAGTAAGCCCACAAAAAATGTTGTAAAGCAATTTTATTCCCAGAGGGGTCCTTACTAATATAAAATACAAACAACAACAAATTAAAACATTAATGGGATGATTTCAGATTAAAAGCAGTCAGTTTGAGATGATTTTTACAAGCATGTTTAAAATTTCTCAGGTTATTATATCCCGAAACACCCTTTGGAAGACAGTTGCATTTATTTGTTTATTTATCCTTTTATGCATTCGTTCATTTATTTTGAATTTTATTATTAAAAAAAAAACCAGATGAGGGGAAAATAAAACCAGAGAAGGAAGTTTAACTTATGTATTCTGGTGTAATGCAAATGCTATCCCTCAAGCAGTCATTGAACAACTGGTAGAACTACACCTTTTTTTTAACTACCTGAAATATGATAGGCCTGATAATGCATTCTAAACTCATGACTGGACTAGGGCTAGTTAAATTAAGGCTTAGACACGCCAATCGATGGCAAGCTTAGCGAAGAAAAATATTCAAAGTAATGTCGGAATAACTACTAACCAAATATGTATTGAAATAAATTTTTAAAAATATATCTAAGAAAATATTTGATTTGCTTCAAAACGTAAAATAATTTGTGTATCGGAGCCACATGATCACACACGGTCAATCGATGGCAAGCTTAGCGAAGAAAAATATTCAAAGTAATGTCGGAATAACTACTAACCAAATATATATTGAAATAAATTCAACAAAAATATATCAATAAGAAAATATTTTATTTGCTGCAAAACATAAAATAATTTGTGTATCGGAGCCACATGATCACACCCAGTCAGGTCGAGCAATAATCCAAAATCATACTATGACTATGCAAAATTTCTAATCAAGTGAGCATTCTTGTTATGGGTAGAAAGTGGAGTGATCCGATGTTGTGTGCATGCGTTGTCAAGGACTTGGTTTCAAAATTATGCCTCTATTTTAACAATTTTGCGAAAGCATCTATGGTCTGATTTGTAAAAATACATGTCATTGTTAGATTTTATATGTTTTAAATGTTAATTTCAGACATGCTTTTTCTCGAATTTGTACTTTGAGTGAAAGGAAGAACAAAAAAAAAAAAAAAACACCGACCTGATTTAAAAAAAAATTTCCATCAGTCGTGGAGGGAAACACAACATTCTTTTGTTTGCCTATCAATGTTGTTGGCATACTTGGGTTGGATTCCCACCGAATCACTTTCAAGTTGTTTTTTTTTTTTGCAAGTATTTGGGAACATACTGAACATTCAGTACAATGACACATCAGGTTAGAGCAAAAACACTACACTATTCATATTATTTCTCCTGACGCAAACGCAATCGGAGTATTATTTTATACTTTATTTTCTTTCTCTTATTGTTGCTTATAATATTTGTCATGATGTGCAATGTAATTTGATGTATCTGTTTCTAAAGATTTTTATGTTGCGTACTGTTTTGAATAAATTCTGTAAATCTCATCATTGTGTACATGATGCAAAGAAGAATAAAGAAATAATAATAATAATAATAATAATAATAATAATAATAATAATAATAATATTTGGACTTGAGAGGAATATCTTTTGTGTTATTTTCCCCTTAACATCATGTTATTTTCCCCATAGTTTTAGGGCTCTGGAGTTTTTAAATAGAGTATCCCATAGTTTACTTCTATAATTTTTGTAAAAATATAGTGTTAGTGTTAAATTTTATGTTTTATATGTTGTATAAGTGGGTACCTGGTAGGGTTAAATACCAAAATGCGCTGATGTAGCTGCTGCAACGTTATGGAATACTCACCCAGGGAGCTTGAGCTTGTGTTCCATAGGCATCCAATGACCAGGGTGTTATGATAATGTGAAGCACATAGAGGGCTTAACAATATGCGCTATATAAGTCTACCATTATTATTATTACCGGTATTATTATTGTTTCAAAACAAAATTTAATGACAAGAAAGATCGACGTTTCGGGTCCATCATGGAACCATTCTCAAGATCAAATAAATTGAAAAAACAAAAAACAAAAATACCATAGCAAAAAACAAAAATACCAAGTAGTGACAGGAAGTAAGTAATGAATTTACACACTATGCTTAATAGAGCTTACAAATTATCATCAACCAATGAATTATTTCTTGAAGAAGTTAATGATATTGCAACTATGTTTGATAGATTAAATTACCCAGCGGAATTAATCAGTAGTATCATTAATGATTTTAAACAATCTATTGTTAATACATCTAACAATAATATTATTACTACTAGTCAAGAAGCTATCGAGCAACCCATCAGAATTGTTCTACCATTTAAAGATCAAACTTGTTCCAACACCGTATCTAAACAACTTAAACAGTTTAGCTGTAAGATTAATAATGAAATTATGCCTATATTCACTAGCAGGAAGATAGGTGAAATCTTGAAATCGAAAGAAAGTAAACCTAAGATTGTTAATGAACAATGCGTTGTTTATAAATTTCAATGTGGCTTGAAATGCAAGCTACCGTCGGCTACACTTGTCGACACCTTTATCAACGCATTGATGAACACAGTAAAGGTAACATAGGACAACATTTAAAAGATCATGATATTAGTGCTACTGAAACTGTTAATTATTTCAAGGTTTTATCTAAGTGCAAATCCAAGTTAGATTGCTTAATCAAAGAAATGCTTTGGATCTGGAACCTACACAATAGCTGGGTTCACGTCGAACTTTTATCTAGATATACATCCACTTAACTAGTTAAAAGTTTGACGTGAACCACTCAATTATAGCTAG